AAGTGGAATTCTGGGAGTTAAAATCCACCAGTCGTAAAGTGGAATTCAGGGAGTTAAAATCCACCAGTCGTAAAGTGGAATTCAGGGAGTTAAACTCCACCAGTCGTAAAGTGGAATTCTGGGAGTTAAAATCCACCAGTCGTAAAGTGGAATTCTGGGAGTTAAAATCCACCAGTCGTAAAGTGGAATTCTGGGAGTTAAAATCCACCAGTCGTAAAGTGGAATTCTGGGAGTTAAAATCCACCAGTCGTAAAGTGGAATTCTGGGAGTTAAAATCCACCAGTCGTAAAGTGGAATTCTGGGAGTTAAAATCCACCAGTCTTCAAGTTGCCAAGGCTGCGACGGTCATAAAAGTGTGAAAAACGGTCCCAAGCCCCCCACCCCCCTTTCCCCCCCGTGCTGTCGTCGTAACTTTGAGCTGTCACTCAACGCACTGCCGTAAGTCGAGGACCGTCTGTGTTCCGTTGGGGCCTCCTGACTGTCTCCCTCCTCACCATCCTCTCTCTTTTTTTCCCCCCAGGAATCCCGTCTCTTCCGCTTCCTCCTCTCTCCGGCCCGGGCGGTGGTGCTAACCCAGCGCGTCCCTCCCTCACCTGCCGGGACCCTCCCTGTCTCCCACCTGAACCGGGGACCGACGATGCCTGCTGGACAGCGCGAGGGGCCACCCGCCGCCCCTTCCCCGCCGCCCTCGCAGCTCACCTTTCTTCACCAGCACACAGAAAACGGTTTTTTTCTGCTCGTTTCGAGGCCGCCCCGTGGTTTTTATTTCCCAGCTCAGGGAGTGGAAAAAACGAAAAACAAAACCAAACCCCCAATAAACCTCCCCCCCCCCCCCCCCCCCCCGCCCCCCTCAACTGCTATCGGGAGGGGAAGGACCCCCCCCCGAACCTCTGCTGCACCTGGACCCCCAACCCTCTGCCACCTTGGGGAAGGGGCCTGGAAAGGCGTCCCCCTCCTTGGCTCGGTTGGCTGAGGACATTTTCTCTCTCTGTTTTTTTGGCAAACATTTTGGGTCGCTTTGCCGCCGCGCAGCCTTTTCTGGACGAAGACGGACGAAGCACCCTTGGAGGCCCAGCGCCAACTTGGGGGTGGGGTGGGGGGTTTGACTTTCCCCCCAGCCCCACGGCGTGGGCTCCGGGGCTCAAGATCCGGAGGAAATCAAGTGTTGCCAACCGTTGCTCCTTCTGAGCCTCGAGATACGCCGTCCCCCCCTTCACCTCTACACCCCCTTCTGATTTGCCCGCGTGGCGTGCCTCGCTCAGCGGCGGCGATAGTTGGAAGAGGAGATGGGGGTGTCGTTCTCCTCCAACCCCCCAACCCCCCTTGCTTCCCCAATTTCTCAGGCAGGTATCCTGGAAAGGAGGCAGGGGGTTCTGGGTGAGGGTCTCCGCTGCTTTTGCCGGTATTCTTAAAGCAGAGCGTCCGCCAACGTGGCCCCTTTAAGACTTGTGGGCTTCCAAATCCCAAAGGATTCTGGGACTTGAAGTCCCACAAGTCTTAAAGGGGCCACGCAGGGGGATTTCTGTTCTAAAGGGGACAGGTTAGAGAAGGAGGAGGGGTCCAAGAAGGAGTGGGGGGGGGCAGCGTTGACCAATCAACCAGCCCACCGGCCCATGCTGGTCTATCCTGCTAGGGACGAAACATCCCGGCTTGTCCCCCTCCTTTGCTGGCAGGGGGCTTTCGGGGCAGGAGAAAGGGGTCCCCGAATGTGATGTATAGAGGGGTGAGGAGGATGAAAAGTTTGGAAGGCCCACCCTGCAGGGCGACTCCTGGTTGACCCTGAGAGGGAGGGGAGGGGGGGGTTGTGGAAACAGCCAGATCCACCTGTCCTGGGCTAAGAGGCAGGTGTGCCTGCCCCTGGGTGGGTGGGCTGCGTGCTCGGAGAAGGTGCAGGGGGGGCCCCCCCAGATTCGACCTCTTGTGGACAGCTGGGAGCAGGCAACCCACTCGGGCCGCTTTTAAGAAGGCTGGACTTCAACTCCCAGAATTCCCCAGCTCGCCAGCCCTGGGAGTATCGTAAGCCCCAAACAATAACCAGTTGGGGCATTCCCGGAGTGGAAGCCCACCCATCCTGAAGGACAAGAGCTGGGGAATTCTGGGAGTTGAAGTCCGGAGCTTTACAAATTCGGTAGCATGCTGTAGCACGGGGAATTCTGGGAATTGAAGTCCATCACCCCCCCACTTCCAGTTGCTAAGGTTGGGGGGAAAAGCAAACCCCTTACTGGAGAGGGGCGTTCGAGCTGGATGTGAATCCTTGGCTAGCAGAACAAATCCTCCTCTGTCTAGTTTTGGGTCGCAGAGGGGCACAAGGAGCCGGGTTCCCACCTTTTTTCGGGGGGCGAGGGCGGGTTCTGCACTGCGGACCAGATCATTTTTGCTATCCTGGAGGGGTGGAGCTGTTGTCAATCGCTCTCCCCCCCCCAGCAGGTCCATCTTCCATAGCCCATCCGGGCCTGCTCTGAATTACTAGACCAACCCGGGGTGGGGCAGCTGTTCCTGGCCTGGGACACCTGTGGAAGGAGACACGGGCAGCTCTGCCAAGCGCTGGCATACCTACCTCCGTGCAAGGGGAGGGCGGAAGCGCAGCTCTTGGGGGAGTGAGGGGGGGGGCATATCTGCAGCGAGGGGTCCTCAAAGTCAAGGGAGCGAGCACCACCAGGAGATCAAAGCCCCGTCTTTTTCTTTCTTTAAAACGCACCTCCGTGGGCTTCGATTTCCCGACTGGCTTCACTCTTGACCTTATAAACTGACCACCCCCAACCCCTGCTACCAATATCCTCCCCAAGCTGTTTGCAAACAGCTCCTCCCTGCATTGGGGAGTAAGGGGTTTCCTTTTTTTTTAGGGTGGGTGGGAGACGGTTTGGGTTTCCCTTTTTCCAACTTTTATCTCCTTTTCGTTCTTTCGGGGCGGGTATTTGGGTCTTCCTCGTTTGTTTTTGTCTATTCTGTTCAGTCGAAGAAAACCAGATTTGAAAAGGACAAAGGACACACACCTTTGACACACCCAGACACACCCAGACACACCCACACACCCGGGGCACTCCGAAGGGCTGATGATGTTCCTGGAAGTAACCACAACCTCGTTATCACTGTGTGATAAGTTTTCTACACACCGTCATCACAGTCATTTTTTTAAAAAAAGAAGAGAAGACGCCCTATTTGAACTGGAGCCGGGGGGTTGGGGGTTCAAAGGGGAGACGCAGCCCGTATTTCGGCCCCCCCGAGACTCACCCCTGGCCCCCCTTCTCCCCCACCCCCTTCCTACCCCCCCCCCCTCTTCCTCTTCTCGGTGAGGCTCATCGGACTGAGCACACCTGCTTTTTTAAAACAAAAAAAAACCAAACCTGCCAATTTAGCTTTCTCCTGTATTTATTTGAACTCTTTTTGTCTTTTATCATTTTGGGGGCCTTTTGTGTTAATCCTAAAACTCAACTGTATGTGGGGGGACAAAAGAAATCCTGCCTTGGTAATAATATTAATAATAAAAGTAATTAAAAACAAAACCCACCACCCCTTGTTTTGCAATCAGGGCTGGAATTTGCAACTCCCCTTTTCTGGCTGCCTGCAACATTTGGGCTGCTTTCAAGGGTTGGATTTTCCTGGTTGTGTTTTAAAAAGGGTCCCCAAAGGAGGCCCACATCCGACCACACAGGGGCCTCCTTTGGAGGGGCATTGGGGAGGGGAGATACCCCCCCACACACACAACCCGGATGCTATTTTCCCATTCACTTCCTTTAAAAAGGATGGTGTGATTTGGGGGAGGGTGGGGCAGCATTCAGGATAGGGGGGGGGGGGGGCTGTGCGTCCCCCAGGTGGGGGTGATAAAAATCAGTATTTTATTTATTTGTATCCTGCCTTTACATAAATAACTCAAGGCAAGGAAAATACGCACATGCCTTCCTCTTTTCACAACAACCCTGTGAGGTGGGTGGGGTTGAGAGACTGACAGGCCTAAAGTCACCCAGTTGGTTTTCATGCCTAAAGCAGGACTAGAACTTGCCGTCTCCTGACGATTGGTCCAGTCACCCAACCATCTTTCACATTTAAGGTGGGACTAGAACTCACCGTCCCCTGGTGATTGGTCCAGTCACCCAACCATCTTTCACGTTTAAGGCGGGACTAGAACTCGCCGTCTCCTGGTGATTGGTCCTGTCACCCAACCATCTTTCACGTTTAAGGCAGGACTAGAACTCGCCGTCTCCTGGTGATTGGTCCAGTCACCCAACCATCTTTCATGCCTAAAGCGGGATTGGAACTCCTGTTTTCTAGCTAGCCGGGGAATTCTGGGAGTCAAAGTCCCCAAATCTTCAAGCAATCCAGGCTGAGAAACCCTGTTCAAAAATTAAGCTGCTGGACCTTATGATCAAGACGTTTTAGCTAATCCAGAGCTCCCAAAAGTTAGAAAATTAACACGGTGGGGGGGTAGAGCTACAGATCTAGCTGAGGAATGCCTGAGGAATTCTGGGGGTTGGAGTCCACAGCTTGTAAAGGCCCCAGGTTTGCGGGCTCCTGCATGAAATAGGAGCCAAACTCTCTCTAAATGGCTTGTTCACCACCTTGTGGCCTGTTTCCTCTTACGGCTGAGATAGCAATCCTATTTTATTTTTATTTTATTTTATTTTTTATTTAAATGCTCCAGGGAAGGATTTCCCATTCAGTCCTCACCCTTTACTGCAATCCAGGCCCTGAGAAGCAGGAGGGGGCTTCCCCCAAGCCAGCTGGGCTGGCTGTTGTGACTCGGGCGTGCCATGACAACTGCCAACCGCTGCCCCGTCTGCCCCGGGCACGGGTTTTACCAGAGCCCCCGTCCTTCTCTGACTTTAGGAAACGATGCGCGCACGCACAGCCTCCCGGGCGCTGCACCTGGTTCAGAAAGGCTTCCTGGCTGGGGCGCACAACGAGCGGTGCCCGCAGGGTGGCACCTCCGGGGCAGCTCAAGGGGAAATCCTGTCGAACTGGCTCCGTTACCTTCAGGGAGCCAGGCCCGGCGGGCTGCCAAGGGAAGAGCCCTTTGGAGGTCTTGGGGTGGGTGGTTCGTCTCGTTCTCTGGTTGTCTTGGCTTCCAGTCTTGTTTTAAGCCACGGAAGGATAGAAGAGAGAGCCACTTCGGTGCCTTCTGACAATAGAATAGAATACGGAGAATGGAATAGGATAGAATAAGAATAAGAATAGGATAGAATAAGAATGGAATGGAATGGAATTTAATGGAATAGAATAGAATATTGGAATAAAGAATAGAAGAGAATATAATTCTTTATTGGCCAAGTGTGATTGGACACACAGGGAATTGGTCTTTGGTGCAAATACTCTCAGTGTGCATAAAAGAGAAGATACATTCATCAAGAATCAAGAACCATAAGGTGCAACACTTATTGATAGTCATAGGGTTCGATTAGAAATAGAATAGAATAGAATAGAAATCTTTATTGGCCAAGTGTGATTGGACACACAAGGAATTTGTCTTTGGTGCAAATGCTCTCAGTGTAGATAAAAAAAGATACATTCTTCAAGAATCATCAGGTCCAACACTTAACGAAAGTCATAGGGTACAATAAGCAATCAAATCTTATTCGTGAACAGTCAATATAAATCGTAAGGATACAAGCGACAAAGTTACAGTCACACAGTCACAAGTGAGAGCGGAAGGGTGATAAGGAGCGATGAGAAGATTAACAGTAATAGTAGTGCAGACTTTGTAAATAGTTGGACAGTGTGGAGAGAATGATTTGTTTAGCAGAGTGATGGTGTTGGGGAAAAAAACTCCCCTTGTGTCTAGTTGTTCTGGTGTGCGGTGTTCAAATGTTTGGGGGCTCAATTGTGGCCGTAAGTTGAGGACTACCTGTATACTCTGCGTATGCTCAGAGATGTGCTTTTCATTCACGTGGCGCCGTGGAAAGATTTGAACCCCAGTTCCCACCAAGCCAGCTATCCTGGATTAAGAAACTGGGAATTGGAGCTTAAATATCCCCCCAGCCTCAGCCGGGACTAGCCTTGATCTCATCTGCTGGCAACCTGCGCTCACTTGTCAAGCTGTTGTAGAGCAAAGCCGAGGATTTTGGGTTGAGCAGATGGGGGAACAGCGAGGGTCCCCCGGGCTGACGGCGAGTCCGTGGCCAATCTCCTAAAAGGGAGTCGCTGAAGCAATGGGACATTTCTCGGCTGCCGGCTGAAGGACATCACTGTGATGGGCAAAGCTTAACAGACACCTTAACCGATTAACAGAGTTGGAAGGGACCCTGTAGGTCATCTAGTCCAACCCTCCCCGCTGCCCAATCAGGAGACCCTACACTGTTTCTACAGGCGGCTCCTCCTCTGCAAGGCAACCGGCCCAGCCGTCCTCCAACCATCAGCACTGCAGGCCACGTCGGAAGGTCCACCTGGCACAATTCTTGGCCCGTTGGCTGGTTTGCAAGTCCGGGGTTGCTTGGACCGGAATAAGGGCACTTCATGCTTCTGTGGGATGAAGGAAGCCGGAGTCCCGTCACGGCTGCAGTGGTTTGCTTCACGGCCGCGGCGAATAAAAGAGCATGCCATCCGGGGGGGTTGGCTTCATTTAACACCCTGCCTTGACGAATGATGGAAATAATTCTGGGCCCAATCGTGGTCGTCCGTCGAGGACTAGTTAGCTAATCCGGCGTTATGGATCGACGGCTCTTTCATTGCTTAAAAAGAACAGAAGGGAAGGGAAGGAGAGGCTTCACTTCACGCCCAGGGCTGGCACGCAAGCCGGCATTCCAGGCTGTGGGAACCTGGCTGCCAAGGGGCATAATCCGGGCAGTCTCTCCAAGCAGGATGTTTCTGCAACGGCAGACAGGAAGAAGGAGCCAAGCCGCCCCTCCTTAACTTCCAGGAACAGCCCTGGGATATCTGGCAGCTGCAGCTTCGGGAAGGGGGAGGGGGGGGGCTCTTTCAAGAGGTCCAGCTGCCTTGGAGGAGGAGGAGGAGGACTGGGGGCAGGAGGGAGGGAGGGAGGGGGGGTGGGCTTTGCGAAGAAAGGCCGTCCAAATCGATTGGAGGGAGTCGTATCTCGCTCCTTTTTTATTTATTTTTTGCTCCTTTTACAAATAACTCCAGGCAGCGAACATCTCCGAAACTTCTTCCTCCTCCTGTTTTCCTCACAACAACAACCCTGTGAGGTAGGTTGGGCTGGCAGAGAGAGAGAGAGAGAGAGCAGAGAAGAGGGAGAGGGAGAAAAAGAGATGGAAAGAAAGAGAGAGAGAGATGGAGAGAGAGAGAGAGAGAGAGAGGAGAAAGTGGGAGAGATGGAAAGAGAGAGAGAGAGATGGAGAGAAAGAGTGGGAGAGATGGAAAGAGAGAAAGAGAGAGAGAGAAATAGAGAGGGAGAAAGGGAATGGCCGAAGGTCACCTAAGCCAGCTTTCATGGCTAGGGTGGGACTAGAACTCCCAGCCTCCTGGTGATTGGCCGAAGGTCACCTAAGCCAGCTTTCATGGCTAGGGT